GTTAGATACACAGCTAGTGAAGTACTTTTACAGAGCCTGAGTAGTCAGTGTATGTGATTGGAGCATTGAGGGGTTTTTGAGGAGAGGAGAATTGCATCCTGAACTCTTTCAGTCCTGACATTGTTAGACAATGATTTTATTTTTTTTTTTTTGGAGAATAGATAAGCAGAAAGTGAGGTGGAGATAGTGGAAACATTGTTTGTCCAACGTGGTAGACAGACCTAGGTAAAGCCAAACCATGCAACAGTGTACTTGAAGAACAGTGGGGTTTTGCAGACTGTTGTAGTTTGTTAGCCCTTGCATATGCCATTTGCACTATGCATAAATCTATCCCACAGAGAATGAAATGACCAAGACAGCAAACTAATGATTTGATCCTCCTGCTGTAAAGCTGATTTCAGCATTCACTTAAAAGCTGGATCCAAATATGTAGTGAGAGATTTTGGTAAATTAATTTGCAGAAGTTCCATCACAAACTTGCTCTCATCAAACCCACAAATATCAGATTATAGCAAGAATGCATATACTGGGCAGATTATTTTGCTTTGAATAATTGCATTTTTTGAGTCCCCTGTCTAAAACTCCTTCTTGGTTTTCTTGGAGGTGGTTTTGGTACTTAGTTGCATACCAACCATGTCAGTATTCAACAGTACTAATTGCTTACTAGTTGCATACTACTATTGTTAATGTTTTAAAGCTAAACTGAAAGAAAAATAGCACATTGCCTTAAGGTAGATATGACACCAAGAATGTGCTTTTTAAGAACTAAAATTTAGAAATTATACTAATGTAAAAAAAAAATAATATGAAGCCCCTATATTAGCTAGGTGAGGTCCATGAATTTTAGGTCCATGAATCTTATGTGTTTATCTCATCAGTGTATCAACCACAGTATTTTCGACTGTCTTTAAGGAATCATGAAAAAGATATGTGTGCCATTTTCCCTTTCCTTATTTTTAATTTTTTTTATTTGCCTTTTTAATTTTTTATATTTTACAGTATTTAAAATTTGCTTTCATCGTTTTATATGTATGTCAGTTAATGTCTTTAACAGTGGTCAAGGAAAAGTCCAACTTTCTTTAGAGAATTGACTGAGAAAAATCTTTGCAAGTTAGGAGTGAGGAACTCTGGCCTGAACTGTTCAATAAACGAAGTGCTGTGTTCCAGAGGGTGATTAATAAAATGTTCAGTCTGCTCCACAACAATACTGCTTGCTAATGGACACTCGCAGTTTTTGAGATGTTTGGAATGCTTCCATCTTTACTCCAAATGCAAAGACTGCCAAAATCTGCCAACTGTTAACTGAGAAGATGAGAGTACGCTTTTTGTTGTTTGAACTTTTCCCGTACAAATCTCACCATAGCAAAAAAGGATACTGCCATGTAGTGAGGAGAGATTGCTTATACTCAGGTCAGTTAAAACTTCTCCCAGAGATACGAATGTCCTTTTTTTTTACTGTGCATACTGTTATGCACCACAATTGCATATTAAAAGAAGAATGAAATTTCTTCACCATTTATTTCTTCTGACCATTGAACTGGCAGAGGCTCAAGTGCTTCTTAACACTGTAGTAAAAATCTCATCATCTGTACCTAAAATTTCATGTAAGCTGGTATAATACATATTTGAAAGATTGCTTAATTGTACTGTGCTAGAATCCAGCAGTGAAGGCACAATTTGAGACACAAATCAGTAGGAAGCATTTACTTGTCTAGAAATGACCACAGGAGTCCTTTGTAGTCCTGGATGTATGTTCTTGTGATTTTGTGGAGATACTGCACTATGTACTGGAGAGCGGTTTGGTAATGTCCAGAGACAGCACAGGTTTTTTTCATACAGGAGAATATCTGCAGATTGTATGAAATTAGTATTAAGTATTAATTTAAGTCTTTTTTTTCTTGAGTCCAGGTTTGGGTTTCTAACAGAACGTTAGTCTTGCTTGAAAAGTAAACATTACACAGCATTTACCAAAAAGTGGTATATATATGAAATAGGAAATAATTACAAAATCTTTATGTAATATCTTTTGATAAATGCTTGCTTTTTATTACATTGATTATATTCAAAATACTTTAATAGTTTCATGTTTTTTCATTTGTTTTGTATGATATTCATCATAGGGATATTCATGATCATAAGTAGAATAGAATTGACTCAGGAGGGATCAGTGGATATAGCACTGGGATGCCAAAGGCATGGTTTGCATTTTGCTTTTCATAATCACTCTGTAAATAGACCAGGACAAGCTAATTGCATCTCTGTGCCTTGGTTTCCCTTCATACAAAACTGAGATCCCAATACTTCCTTTGAAAAATGCACTGAGGTCTATAGAAAGAAGTTATTTAGAGAATTATGTGAGATTTTATTTCTATTGTGGTAATTGGAAGGAGAAGGTGTTCATGATCATTCACATCAAACCTTGGTTTGTTCCTTGTTTCCAGCTTCTGAATGGGATGTTCTGCAAATAAGGATTCCAGCATGGATTGATTAGAATTGCCTGTGGATCAGTCAGAGATTTATCAGTGGGATCTTTCAAGGCTGCAGCTCAGATTCTTTCCTGCTTATTCCACTTCCTGAGCAGTTGCCATTCATCAGATGTAGTTTTTTGAAACGTTGGTTTTGATTTAGTGCCATTTCATGTCTGCTTTTTTTCTCTATTCTATATCTCTTGTAATTCTTTTTATATATATTGGAAGACAATGAAGAAGCAGGACCTTCGAAATTCTTTATTGATGGAAAAGTTTCAAAAACTTAAGATTTATATTCTAATCATTTATGTGCAGGGATATTTGTCAAAGGAACCTGTAGGACTTGTCACTCACTTCTGTTGAATTTCAGTGGGATTTCAAAGTCTTACTCCCTCAGGCTCTTCTTTCCACTCCTTTATATCTCAAACATCAATCTTATCATACATAGCAATGGTTTATCAGCAAAGCCCCTCAGACAGAAACTGCAAAGAGGCTTTTAGGGCAATTGTTTTCCTTGAGTTATCTGGTATTTCTAGCCAGATTTCATGTATTCCCCCTGCTTCAAGCGCAGTGTTCCTGCTGCTCCTGAACCTCCATGATTTTATGCCTTTTTTTACTTTCCCTCGTCTACAACAGAACTGATGGATAACTTGGAATTTGTAAATGGGATTTTAAGTCACACGATACTTAGCAAAAAAAGCAACATATAAATCAGCAAATAAAACAGGACAATCAAACGTGATCTGTCACAGAGAAATAGGCAAATTGTCATGAGTCAGTGCCTCTGACAGTGATGAGACACAGTAAAAGATCAAGTGTAATGACAAAGAAATACATGTTTTAGAAGTGCATAATATTGCATTTCACAGATATATTTACTAAAATATTATTAGAGATAATAGGTACTGGCATTAAAGAAACACAAGCAAATTAATTTTCAGTGTTCAGTCGTGTTAGTTTTACTTAATATTTGTTTGAGTAACTATAATTTCAATTTTAAAAATGACAAAATTGTATTGTAATGCAATACGTCTTGATAAAGCTAGAAATTGTGCTTGTGGCTTTTGTCAGGTTAGTTTAGGAGTATCCCGTTGCATCATTCCAAAAAGATCTCCCCAGGCACCTGTCACAGTTCCTAATGACAACTGCTTTCTCTCCTGCCTCTGCCATGGTTCTTCAGGTAACATAATTCTCTTTCCTTTATTTCACATGCTTGTCTCAGCCTCTGGCCCTAACCTGGAAGAGGTCCTCACAGCACCTTGGCTCACAAACCAAAGGAGCTGAAAAGGGCTGTCACTTCTTGCTGTCCACTCAGCACTCCTTTTGTACCACTGTGTGACTGACTAAGAAAAAACTTAAGCCTTGTTAATCAGCACTCAAGGGAGCCAGGAGAAAGTGATGCGGGCTGATAACTTCCTTGAACTCACTTTTATATTGAAATTACTTGAATATGCTATATTGGTTGAATTTTATCAGGACTTGTCCATTCAAAGGTAATGTACATGAAAATGGTTTACATAAACTGTAGCATTTGCAGAGTAATTACAATAGTACAGGCTGTTGTTACATACTAATATTTTGAAATTGTAAGTCTATTTTTCACCTGTCCAACAAAACTAAAATTGCACCAAGGTAGCAATTGCTAATACACAGAATACAGTTTGCTTACAACAAATTTTTCAAGCTCTTCCATGCCCAATTTATATGCTGTGCTGACAGTAGCAAACCACTAAATTCATTTACAGATCCAACGTGAAGTTAGTTGATGAATTTACATTATCAATGTTTAATCAGTATCTTTCTTGTTTGTTTATTTAGAACAGCAACAAAACCCGGCAGATGGGATACCCAGTGCTGGGTGACACAGGTGTCTGGTCTACGTCATCAGTCTGATTTTGCTTGCATCCTTTCTTCGAGACTGTACTTCCTTCCCAAGATTAGGCATCAGAGTAAAGTTCAGCAGACAGTGTGTGTCACCTGTTAATCATCAGCTATTATTCCCTACCTATGTTAATAAAATCCATACCACTTCAGGGCCTTACTTTCCCCTTTGGAAGAATCTTCATTATATCAGTCTGTCCATATATATTGTATGGGTAGCCTTGTTTGCTTCCTTTCAGTCTCAGCCATTCTCTGTGCTCTTGAAATGCTGGGTTACCCTCCTTCAGGTGCATCTGCTGCAGGAACTATTTAATATTCTTCTGTGTATTTTCTTATTACTTCTTAATGCAAAATAGCCTTCTTTATTGAAATTACCTTTGTCACACAGACTGTGTATCACGTACAGAAATCTAAATATTGGAAGGGTTTGATACACAAACAGCTAGCAGTCATGAAGGAGAATGTCATACCCTTAATAAATTGACTTCCTGTTTATTATTTTCAGTATTATACAATTTTGTGTGATGGTTGTTCTCCCCTGGCACTTTTAACAAGGGAGTTTTTGCAACCAGAGCTTTTCTGCTCTGGCCCTCAAAAAGCAGATTAATGTTTCATTGTGTCAAAAAAAAGCATATCTTTATTCCCTTACAGGAATACACAATAGATGTTTTCTTCCGTCAGAGGTGGAAGGATGAAAGATTAAAGTTTAAGGGCCCAATGAACATTCTTCGATTGAACAACTTAATGGCCAGCAAGATCTGGACCCCAGATACATTTTTCCACAATGGGAAGAAATCAGTGGCTCATAACATGACAATGCCAAACAAGCTTCTACGAATCCAAGATGATGGAACTCTCCTGTACACCATGAGGTAAGTCTTTTCACCTCTACTCAAGCTATTTCTTGATGTGATTTTTCCAGATAACAATTAAATAAGGTTCCAGGAGGACTATCCTTTGTTTCACGTCTGACCCAGCAGAAAGAAAGCTAGGAAAAAATACGTTTTATTTCCAGCTCTGTTACAAGTCTGTTGGCTGATTATGAGTTGTATCAGTTTTCCTACATGTTCCTTAGCTTTCATACCCCTATAAGGTATTAAAAGATACTGACCACCTTGCCTTAAGTGCTTTGAGACCTTCAGATGGGAATGACTGTGTAAGAATTGTTGAGAATACTCAAAGTTTACCAATTCCATCTTAGAACGATTAAAATTGTGTATGACTTTTGCCTGTTACTACAGCCATTGTACTGACCATGTGAGCCCTTAAGCAAATTTATTATTAAGATCGACGGCAATAAAAAATAAAGAGGAAGAAGAAGGGGTTAATAAGGCCTCAAATTCTTTCTAGCAAGGACTACAGGGAAAAACTACTTACTCTGTAGTAGCTGTTTCTGTATATCTAATTACAATATTTTACTTAGACTTTTAATTTTTGCATCCTGTGCATGATTAGCAGCTAAGACAAACATTTAGCTGGTAAAATGTATTAAATTTGCTTAGAAAATAATTTATGAAAAATTATAAATACCACGTATGCATAGGCTTAAGCAGCATTTTTATAAGACTAATTTCTTCTTCGGTTTCTCTTTTTGCAGTAATGTTAACTATATGAGTTTTCTGGAAATTTTTAATCCAAATTTCCGGAAATCGCTGACTTAGTTTCTTTCTTTTTCTTTGATAATATTTAATAAATTGAATTTGTGAGAATGTAGACTTAAAATCCCCAGCCTAAGTAAGATATAAAATGTGAGCTGTAAAGCAAACATGTACTGTGCAATTTTTTCCATGCAGCCATATCAGCTTCCCTTCAGCCTGGTATACTATACAACATCCAAAACCCTGTAGTACTGAGTGTTGATGGGTAGACTGCTAATAATGTTGCATCATGTGGTGGTTGGAGAGGTTCAGAAATGTTTGCCGGAAATAAACTGAGAGCCCATTTATAGTGTTTTTGCTTGGGCTCAAATCAATATTTGAACTTGTACCTGTATAAACTGACTGAAATTCTCTCACTCCAGAAGATATAATCACATGCTGTACATAGTAAGAAATACTTTTTGAAACCATTATGAAGAATTTTTTAAAAAAACATAAGCTAGAATTAGCTAAGCGTTTTCATGACTCGTGTGTTGCTTCTGAGAGTATGAAATTAATATGCAAACAGTTTTCATTGTCTGGATTTTAAACATCCACTTCTGTCTGTGTCTATTTGAAATGATAGTGCGATTTATACCAGAGCCTCATGCAGTTCTTTCCTTTGCCTTCAGCTGTTTGTTGATTCCTCTCTCTCTCTGCCCCTTGACTTCAGAAAAACTTTCCTGGGGAATAGAAATATGGAATATTTCTGGGTGGAAGGATGGGAGAACATAGTGAGGAATACAATGAATGTGAACCATGTGGAGTTCAGGAGGGTGTAGCTGATGTTTGAGGCTGGATGAAGAGGAACAGAGACATCCAGAAAAAAGTCTCTACCCAGAGGAGACTTACAGGATAGGAAAGAGAAACAGAGCTTTTACTTTTTTTTTTTTTTTTTTTTTTTAACTAAAAATAATGGAGAAGAAAAGTCTGTCAAAAACTTTCTTCAAACTATTTTAAATTATTTTAAATCATATTAATTCCCATATTTCATACTGGGATACATTGTTAACATACTGTCATGCCTTCTACATAAATAAAAATAATAATCACAAGTAACATGGAGAATGAGTAGCCGCAATCTTGTAAAAGAATACAAATGGGTTTTTTTCTACATCTTCCATTTGAAATGTAAAAAACACTTAAATTCAGAAAACTATGTCACACAGTCCTTTGGCAATTTAACTGTATTTTATTTGCTTTTGTAATGAGCCTTTGAGAGCCATATAATCACACGTGTACCTCAGAATATTATGAGAAGAAAATGACTGTTCTTAACAACCTGCAGTTACATAATTTATATTTTCATTTAAATGGCCTTTGCTCATAGTTTTGAGGTCAGCTCTTTCAGGTTTTTGATGTGATAAGTCAGTGCCTTCCAAAGGAACACATAAAAGGCAAGAAGTAAGAGCTGATTTAAATTTTAATTAGTTTAATATAACATTTCAGTTTCATCTCCTAAATCAGCATGAACTCTGTTCATTTCTGTGGAATTGATTTTCTTGTCCTGCTAACTGACTTAAACGCATAGCGGTCTTTTGCCTTTTAGGCTTACAGTCCAAGCTGAATGTCCAATGCACTTGGAGGACTTCCCTATGGATGCTCACTCATGCCCACTGAAATTTGGCAGCTGTAAGTATATAATGAGAAGTATAGCCTTTAGTTAACGAATATCTACCATTGCTCAGCATCACTTTTTTTCAGTGACTTGTTACATGAGAGGTTTAAAACACAAGATGGTACTTTTTAAAAAATTTGTAACCTGACGCATTGAAATCTCTTTATTTAGTGTTGTGTCTTCTAAAGCTTTCTTGACTCCAGTTAACAATAAACACTATGCACCCAATTCAGCACTGCAGTGATCTACTTTTATTCCAGCATGCAAACCATACTGATGGATGCAGACCTGGGTGCACGTAGCTTGTGTACTATTAATGAAGAGCAGATTAAAGACTTCAAAGAATGTTTATTTTATTTTATTGAAGCATTTATTTTCTCTTTTTCGTTAATGATATTTGGTTTTACATTCATAGTCCATGAAGGCAACAACTGGCTTCTTGTGATAAAAAAATTAACTCATTAGTGCATCTGCATGTTATAGACAGGTGGCCTTTGGTCTCACTAGTATTATTTTAGCAACAGTGTAACTTCATCTACCTATATTACAGCCTTTATTGTTTTTCTTCATGAATCAGGATCACATTATATATATTTCCTGGATTTTGTACATGAAAAGGTTTTTTTTTTTCCTTTGGCTGCAGCCTACATTCTCTGCTGAGCCCAGGAAAGGGTATATTTTTTTTGAGGAAACTGGTTAATACCTTTACATTCTGTCTGGTTTTACATTAATGCAGCCACCGCAGGTTACAAAACAGGTGATATGCTGCCACTAAGGACATCATTAACCAGACGAACATTATCAGAGCACTCTGCGCTCTCTCCATAACCCTGACATATCCCTTTTCCTTGGAGTTTGGAGTAAATTAAACCCAGCCTGTGTTTCTGATGATGTTTCCACACTAGAGGGAAATCTTAGCTATGGAGATAAATGATCATTAGAATTAATAATACTTGTATCATGGAGCCTTTTTTGCCTAAATATTATAATACATAATGCAGCCTAACTAACTAACACCAGAGATGTTAGCTGAAATCGGCTACTGACTAATAATATTTACATATATGTGCATAGCAAAGTATGTTTGATTTATAAGGTGTGAGAGGAAAAAAGTCTCATAGGTAGCCTCAAAAGAACTTAAAAACCCCTGTAATAATGAAACTGACACTCAGGCCAAGAGGCTACTTCATAGGATGATTTCATTTGCATTCCAAAGTTGGAAACCCTTCTGTATAGATATATTAGACTTCGTGTGAACGGTTTCTTTTCTTTTCTTTTCTTTTCTTTTC